ATGTCTATAAAAGCCGTCAGTCAGAGGTTGCACCTTATTGACCACCAAAGAACACAAACTGGAGAAAAGGCATGTGATTGTGATTACTATGAGAAAGTTTAAGTGATTGATCATCCCAAAAAAAGCAGAGAGAACATAAACTATGAGAAACCTAAGAGTATCATTGTGAAACATCATTTAGTCAGTGGTGTCAACTTACAATAATTTATACTAGGAGGGAAGCCTTGTGAATATAGTCAATGCTTTTAGTTGTAATATATCTCTTATTTAAAATGAGAAATTTAATGGGATAGAAAGCCTATGAGGGGTCGGAGCCATAGTAAAGTTGGTAGGGCGTTTGCCTTGCATCCGGCTGACCTGGGTTTGATCCCCGGCATCCCATATGATCCCCCAGCACTTCCAGGAGTAATTCCTGAGTACAGAGCCAGGAGTAACCCCTGAGCATTACTAGGTGTGACCCAAAAAGAAAAAAAAAAGAAAGAAACCCTATGAGTATGAAAAAGCCATTGACAGTCCATTACTAGACATCAATTAACTATGATATAACTCTAAGTGTGGATTATGATCACATGCTTCAAAATTGTGTTGGTATGTACAGAAGTTGCATATTACCAGGTTTATCTGCATCTACTAAATAAAGATCTCTAGTAAAACCTAGGAGTCTGCATTTTCCAAACTGCAGTTTGTAATTTGTATACTCAAGTGTGTTTACTTCTACCTTAGGTAAAAAGCTGAGCATGACCATTGATGAAAACTTTTATTTGGTGCTTCTGTTTTTGAGCTTTGGGGCCATACTTGGCAGTGCACACAACCTACTCTTCCTCTATGATCAGGGATCATTCCTACTGGTGCTCCAGGACCGTGTGGTACTAAGGACGGAACTCTGGCCTACAACATGGAGAGCAAGTGCTCTAACCCACTGAGATCTCTCTTTTGACCTTAGTCATGTCTCTTAAAAGAACTTGGGGAACTCAGAATGGAGCTGTACCCATAAGATATTTGAATTTAAAAAAAATACCTGGGGCTGGAGTTAGTAGGTAAGGCATACGCCTTGCATGTGGATGACCCGTCTTTGATCCCCAGTGTCTCATATAGTCCCCCGAGCACCACCAGGAGTAAACCCTGAGCACAGCAGAGTATAGCTCAAAAACCTAAATACATAAATGTATAAATATTAAGAAATAAAATTTTATTTTAAAAAACACCCAATCAGGGGCTGGAGCAATAGCACAGCGGGTAGGGCGTTTGCCTTGCATGCAGCCAACATGGCCAACATAGGTTCGATTCCCAGCATCCCATATGGTCCCCCGAGCACAGCCAGGAGTGATTCCTGAGTGCATGAGCCAGGAGTAACCCCTGAGCATCGCCAGGTGTGACCCAAAAAGCAAAAAAAAACAAACAAAAAAAACACCCAATCAAATCACCTATCTCTATAACATATTACTGGGAATAATGAGGAATTAGAAGAATGTCTATTTTGGGTATCTCTAAAGAATATTCAGGAAGTTCATTGGGCCCTCCTGGCAGTTGTCTTTGAACCAGGGTTGTTTTCAACATGAGACCCCAAAGATACAGGGCTGGTTGGGCCAGCCTGGGATTCCATGACCACCCACTGGTGCTAGGAGGTGCCCAAAGCCATACCCAGTGGTGCTTAGTGAACTATATGGTGCCAGGGATCAAAATAGGGTGAGCCACATACAGAATATGTTCTTTAACCCCTATCTCTCTCCAGCCCTTATAGATTTCTTAATTTAGATCTGGCTGACATCCATACTCAAAGAAGATTCAGTTACATGAGAATGTGCTATAGAGAGAGAAACTATGATACTAGCAATTTTAATAAGAACATGATTGAACTGAAGGGATAATACAGCAAGTAAGGCCCTTGCTCTGCATGTAGTATATGGTCTGATCTCCAGCACCCGCAGAAGTGACCCTTGAGCACTACTGGTTTGGCCTAAACCATACTCCAAAAAAACTTGATTAGAAAGGAAGAAAATGTAGGGATGTTTTGTGTGTTTGGTGCTAGGAATCAAACCCAGGGTCCACACATGGAAGGCACATGACCTTCCACTGAGCCACTTCACTAACACTAAAATTTTAAAGTTGAATTATTTTTTGAGAGCTATAGTTACCTCTGACTTTGTGCTCAGGCATCATTCCTGGCACCGCTCAGGGGAACGTGTAATAGTGGTAATAGGCCTCCTTCATCAAACATGCACTTATCCCGTTTGTTATATCTCTGACCTCTGAAATAGTATTATGCTGGGAACAAAGGATTTAGATAGGGAGGATGAAGAAAAATGCTAAATGTACAGAAAAACTGGAACCAGGGGCCAGAAAATAGTGCCAGCTAGTGTAAAAGCCATTAAGGCAGATACTGTTACTACTCTCTATCTCTGCTTGTCTTCCTTGAGGAAACAATCCTGAGATAAGCCCATAATATAGATATTTGTCCCTATAGATAGACTGAGGAGTTCGGATGTGTGTAAGTTTAGCCTGATTAGATTGGGGTAGCTAGGCACCAGACCAAATAGTGTTGTTCTCCTGTGATTCCTGCTCAAAGCAAATACCATCTGTGAAGGACAGCTGGGCTCTCAATCCATGGAGCTGTCACCCCCGAATCCATACTTTCCTCTTACTGTCTTGCTTCTTAGTCCTCTCAGGGTCTCTGCTTTGATCCTGTCTACTCGGGCTGTTCCCAGCAGTATTATCAGGTTATCAGATTCCCAGCGGGTAGAGCACTTGCTGCACCCAGCCAACCCGAAGTATTATCATGGAAATTATTGGTAGACTCGGAATGTTTTAAGGATAGTTGAACTCTAGGTTGACTAACCTGAACTGGTTTCAAAATTTAGTAGATGAAAACACAACCAGGAATCAGAGCAATAGTACAGCAGGTAGGGCATTTGCCTTGCATGCTGCCAACCCGGGTTTGATCCCCGCCATCCTGTAGGGTCCCCCGACCAACATCAGTAGTAATTCTTGAGTGCAAGGCCAGGAGTAACCACTGAGCATCCCAGGTATGACCCAAAATGCCAAAAAAAAAAATAATTAGGAAATAAAGAAAACACAACTAAATACAGTGTATACATAAAACATAACAACCGCATGGGCCTGGACAATGATTCAGTGATTTTAAGTACTGCTTTCCCAGCATCTGTTCACAAATTCCTATATTTTCTGCCACCCGCATGCATTGAGCATGGTCCCAGCAGCTCTGCTATCTGGGGTGCCTAAAGGTATGTAATTACTTCAGCAGGATTGCAAGTCCTAGTGAACACTAAGTCTGAGAGAGTACAGCAGATGTCTCACCCACAGCACACACCATAACCAAGGTTCATGGACCAGGACTGAGTACTTTATGGATCGGGACCAACCTTGAGTAACACTCCCTGCACTGTCGTGACAACCAGAGGACAATAATGGTAACAAAGGGAAGAGAAAGGCAAAGTCACAGCCAAATAACAATGTGTGCTAACATGGATAGTTAAGGTGGTCAGAGTCAGACTGAAGCCACAGTACAGCAGGTAGAGCACTTGCTGCACCCAGCCAACCAAGGTTCGATCCTGAGCACCCACCAGGAGTGATCCCAGAGCACAAAGCCAAGAGTCAGGCCTGAGTTCCACCACGTGAGACCCAGAACCCAAAAATTCAAAAAGAAGAGCAAATATAAGAGTGGGAGCAAAAAAGAAAAAAGAAGGAGTCCAAGTGATAGTGCAGCAGGTAGGGCGTTTGCCTTGCACAGGCCGACCTGGGTCCTATCCCCGGTATTCCATATGGTCCCCAAGCACCGCCAGGAGTAATCCTTCTGAGTACAGAGCCAGAAGTAATTCCTGAGCATTGCTGGCTGTGACCCAAAAAGGAAAAAACAAAAAACAAAAAGAAGGAAAAAAGTCTAATAGTGGAGCTGGAGGACGGGGAGACAGCCCTTTCCACTCTCTGGGGCTTGCCGCTAAGATACTTGGAAATTTTGTTGGGCTCCCAGTAGAGTGAAAATTTGTGTTCCTGGGAGCCAGAGAGAGGATACGGGGTTAAGGCACTTGTCATGCATAACTGAGTTAGATCCCTTAAACCTGGGTTTCATACAAGCAAAGCAAGACTTCTTTCAAATAAACTTTAATTTTTTTTTAATTGGGGATGGAGGTGTTGGGAGACACCAGGTGGTATTCCTGGCACTGTGTACAGGAATGATTCCTGGTGGTGCCTGAGATGCCATATATGGTGCCAGGATCAAACCCCATTTGACACTTGCAAAGCAAGCAGCCTCTGCATTCTGACCCTAAAGCTTTTAAAGCTTTTTTTTTTCCTTTTTGGGTCACACCCAGCAATGCACAGGGGTTACTCTGGCTCATGCACTCAGGAATTACTCCTGGAGGTGATCAAGGGACCATATGGGATGCTGGGAATTGAACCCGGGTTGGCCGCATGCAGGGCAAACGCCCTACCCACTATGCTATCGCTCCAGCCACCTCTGGGCCTAAGGCTTTTAAACGGATCTCCAGAAATCACAGAAGTCACACCACAAAGTGAACATGCCAAACAGTAAAATTGAACATGAACAGTTTTCAGAAGACCTGGGAGTCCCTTTCGAAGCTTTAAATCTTTCAAATGTTTATGTAATTTTGATCACAGAAGTTTTATCTTGAGGCCCTGGGGATAGTTGAGGCTATGATGTTGGGGGCTGCCCCCAGTTCTGTACTGGGAGGGAAAGGAAATGATATCAAGTTGGCCTGAAAGACGCAAGCTTCTGAACCCCTGAGCTGTCTGACATACTTTGGCAGTTTGCGCTGCAAACAGCATAAAGGCGTGGGGAGGGGAGGTCCCAAACCTGGGCATAGCAAGCCCTAGTCTGAGCGGTTCTCCACCGTGCCTGCAGTCACTGCGGCAGGGCACAAGGGCAATTACAGGTGGCAGGACAATTACTGCTGTTCACTGCTCATCGTTCAGAAAGTCGTTCACTACCTACCATTCAGGCCGAACTGAGGTCAGCCTGTGGTCACCGGCGTCATCCATACGGGTGGGATTGGATCGCTGCCCGCCATCCTGCCGGGAGAACACGGACACCAGCCAGACACTGCCTGTCACACAGGAAGGACCGCGAACACTGCCGTGCCTTCAGTAGGCAGGCTAGGAGCAAACCTCCCCTAGAGCATCCGCCTGGCAGAGCCAGGAGCTGAAGTGCTCCATTAAGCCGCGGCAGGAGAGCCTTGACACTGACCGACAGGATGGAGCGGCTAACACTATCCATTGGCTAGAGGAGGAAACGCCCACAGCCAAAGCCAGAAGATTTCTATTGGTCAAAGTCTGGGCGAGAAATGGCTCCCATTGGTCGGACGCCGTGGTGCAGCGCGCCGCCTTTTGGGAAATGTAGTTTCAGTGTTGCCGGTGCGGCCGCCATTGTCCTGCAGGCGACGATTCGGGCGACTCCTGTGGCTGGGTTGGCTGTCGAGTTTGGAGTTTCCCAGGTCATTGTCCTCGACCGGCCGGTCCAGTATGGACTCCGAGGAGGAAGCTGCAGGATTAGAGTTGGCCACAGGGCCGCCGCCGCAACGGCCACAGGTAACAATACACCTTCACAAAAATAGTTACGATGGGCGCGGGCCCGGCCGAGAGTGTCCGTCAGACTCTGAGGCTTCCCGGTAGCCACGCCTGGCGAGGAGACGGAGGCACGTCCTTTCAGCTGTTCTCACCGTGGAGATGGGCCCGGCCGGGCGCAGCAGTCAGGGTTCGTCCTCTGGTCCGCGGGCCCGGAGTTCGATGCTCCGCCCCCTCGGGCGCAGGCCGGGGAGTTTCGGGTGGTACTGGGGCCCGCGGCGCGGGTGCGGGGTTGTAGGGGACCGCGCGGATGACTGCGGCGCGTGTGAGGCCGTCGCGGTGGCGCCGGGGTGCTGAGCTGGGCGGGTGTTTTCGAAATGGCCCCCGCTGCTCGCGTCTGTGCCCGGCCGCCTTCTCGGCCCGCGAGGCCCCTGCCGACGGCCAGCCTTCTTTACTCGACCGGAACCTCCGAGGCGGCCAGCTGGCCAGGTTAAGTGCAGATTGTTGCAGGCTGGATGTAAATGCGAGCACACTTGGTGTGCGTTTGTTGTTCCGGGGGTGAGCAGTGAGGAGGAAAACACAGGCTGGACTTGGTGAAAGCAGGAAAAACGGAAATAGGGGAGAGGAGACCCTCTGACAAAATGGAGTCCAATTCCGAATACAGGGGAAAGTGGGACTGTGTGAGGGGGCAGGGATAAGAGTAAATCTGGTGAACTGACCGTTTCTTTTTTTTTAAACATCACTATTAGAGCGGTAACCTACTTTACAGTGTTAATGTTTGTGTTTCGTTCGGTATTCAAACTTACAGCTACTCTCCCACGACGTAAGTGCCAGACTGCACTCTGTTCTGTCACTGCTACCTCACCCCTCTGCCTAATCCCCTTCTGACCATACCACCTACTGTTCTCAAGAGTACAAGGGTTTATTTACATTGGCCTTTGTCCATTCCTTCTTTTTGTTTTTTATAAGCCACATAGGAATGAGATCAACTGGCATTTGTGTCATAAATTAGACTTACCTTCATGACACCATCTAGGATCAATCCAAGTTGTAGCAAGAAGAAATTATTTTTTTCTTACAGCTGAGTAGTAGTCAGTTATGTGTATATTTAATTTCTTACTTTCTTTTTTAATTTGGGGAACACACCTGGTGATGCTCTAGGTTTACTCCTAGTTCTGCACTCAGGAATTATTCCTGGTGGTGCGCAGCGGCCATATGAGATGCCAGTGGGAGAACCCCAGTCAGCTGTGTGCAGGACACACTACCCACTGTCTCATCCCTCTCCAGCCTGCCTCCTTTGTCTTAGTTAACGCTCCATACTTCTGAAATTATCTTTTGGGTTGTCAGTTCTGTTTCATTGGTCTGAAAGTCTTATTCCAATACCATATAGTTCTATAGTGTAATTTAAAGTCTGGAGTTATTGTACCTCTCCTCCTCCTTATAATTTTGTTGACTATTTGTAAGGAGAGTTAAGATCCATACACTTTCTGTAGTATTTGTTCTGTGTCCTTGAAGAATGCCCCTAAAATTTTGATAGGAATTACATTGAATCTGTATAATGCTTGAAGAGGCAGTCACTTTATTTTTATTTATTTTTTATTGAATCAGTGTGAGATAGTTACAAAGCTTTCATGTTTGAGTTTCTGTCATACAGTGATTGAACACCCATCCCTCCACCAGTGCACATTTTCCACTACCAATGTCCCCAGTATACCCCCCCTTCTACCTCTATGGCAGACAATTTCCCCCATACTCTCTCTCTACTTTTGGGCATTATCGTTTGCAATATAGATACTGAGAGGCTATCACGTTTGGTCCTTTATCTACTTTCAGCACACATCTCTCATCCCGAATGGTCCCTCCAACCATTATTGACTTAGTGATCCCTTCTCTATTCCAGCTGCCTTCTCCCCCGACCTCATGAGGCAGGCTACCAACCATGGAGCAATATGCCTGGCCCTGTCTCTACTATTGTTGGATGTCAGTCTCATTTTATATTCCACTAATGAATGCAGTCATTCTAGTCTGTCCTTCTCTTTCTGACTCATTTCACTTAGCATGATACTCTCCATGACCATCCACTTATAAGCAAATTTCATGACTTCATCTTTCCTTACAGCTGCATAGAATTCCATTGTGTAGAATAGCAGAGTTTCTTTAACCAGTCGTCCGTTCTTAGGAACTCAGGTTGTTTCCAGATTCTGGCTATTGTGAACAGTGCTGCAATAAACATACAGGTGCAGATGTCATTTCTACTGTGCTTTTTTGTACCCTCGGGATATATTCCCTGAAGTGGTATTGCTGGGTCATATGGAAGCTCAATTTCTAGTTTTTGAAGGAATGCCCATATTGTTTTCCTAAAAGGCTGAATCAGTCGGAATTCCTACTAACAGTGAAAGACAGTCCCTTTCTCTCCACTCGCGCCAGCACTGGTTTTTCTTGTTCTTTTTGGTGTGTACCAGTCTCTGTGGTGTGAGATAATACCTCATTGTTTTGATTTGCATCTCCCTGATGATTAGTGGTATAGAGCATTTTTTCATGTGCCTTTTGGCCAGTTTTATTTCTTGGTTTTTGTTTGTTTGTTTTTTGCTTTTTTGGGTCACACTTGGCGATGTACAGGGGTTACTCCTGGCTCATGCACTCAGGAATTACTCCTGGCAGTACTCTGGGGACCATATAGGATTCTGGAAATCAAATCCGGGTTGGCTGTGTGCAAGGCAAATGCCCTACCTGCTGTCACTCCAGCCCCTGTATTTCTTTTTTGCGGAAGCATCTGTTCATTTTCTCTCCCCATATTTTGGATGGGGTTGGAGGGGTTTTTTTGGGTTTTTTTGGTTTTTTGGTTTTTATTTGCTTTTTGGGTCACACCTGGTGATGCATAGGGGTTACTCCTGGCTCTGCACTCAGGAGTTACTCCTGCGGTGCTCAGGGGACCATATGGGATGCTGGGAATCGAACCCAGGTCGGCCGCGTGCAGAGCAAACGCCCTACCCGCTGTGCTATCTCTCCAGCGCCGGGGTTGGAGGTTTTTTTCTTGTACAATTCTTCTAATGTCTTGTATATCCTGGGTATTAACCCCTTATCAGATGTGTATTGGGTAAATATTCTTTCCCATTCCAGTGGGCTCTCTGTATTTTGGTCACTGTTTCCTTTGAGGTGCAGAAGTTTCTTAGTTTATTGAAGTCCCATTTGTTTCTTTCCACTTGCTTGATCGGAGGTGTTTCATCCTCAAAGATGCTTTTAGCTTCAATGTCATGGAGGGTTCGGAGGCAGCCACTTTAACAATTCTTCTGGGGCTGGAGAAATAGTATAGCAGGTAAGAAACTTGCATTGCATGTGGCTGACCCAGGTTATTCTTTTCCTGCCTGGCACCCACAATGGTACTCTGAGACATATTGATAATAACCATTGTTATCAGTGATCCCTGAGCACAGAGCCAGGAGAAAATTCTGAGTACAGGTGGATATGCTACACACACACACACACACACACACACACACACACACACACTTATCATAATAGCTATTTAATTCTTCCAATTCATGAACATGGAATATTTTTAATTTCCTGGTGTGTTTTATTTGTATTTTTTATTTTGTTTGGAGGCAGTGCATGGTGACTACTCTAGACTCATTGCTCAGTGTCACTTCTGGTGCTCATGGGACCAGAGCAGGGTGTCAGGGAACAAACCCAGGCTATTTGTGTGTGTGTGTGTGTGTGTGTGTGTGTGTGTATGTTTTGGGTCACACCCTACAATGCTTAGGGTTACTCATGTTTCTGCATTCAGAAATTACTCCTGGCAGTGCTCTGGAGGCCATGTGGCAAACCCAGGTTTTTGGGTGCAGAGCATGTGCAACAGTTCTCTTTAGTTTTCTCTCTGGTCCTGTTTTCTTGATTTCTCTGTGATTTATTTTTTATTGCTTTGTTTTCTTTTCTTTTGTTTCATTTTTTCAATTCTCAGGGTTTACTACTGGCTCTGCACTCAGGAATCAGTCCTTGCGGTGCTCAGGAGACCATATGGAATGCCAATGATCAAACCTGGGTGGGCCCTGTGCAAGGCAAACATCCTAAGCACTATACTCTCTTCTCTGGAGTAGCTTTATAAATGGGAGGAAGCTTTGGGTGTGGACATGATCGGAGCTTCTGAAAGTGCAGGGAGGTGGGGGGAGGTAGCCCATACTAACCCCTGAGAAAGCCTGGAGATTCCAGTCACAAAGCCCACATACCTTAATTTTCAGCAGATTATATCTTATTGTGGTCCTTCTTGAGATGGTGGAGTCAAGTGGTGATTTTGGATCGTGGAAACAAGTGGCTGCCATGGGCTCAGTTTGGTCTGGGGCATGGCTGTGGTTTTGGATTGTGGGAGCAAGTAGCTGTGGGGATTCTGCCTGGACTGGCACCAGGCAAACCTATCCCCCTCTGATTTACCCTGGTCTGTTCAGCCTCTTGTAGGTTCAAGATTAAATGTGACTTTTAATCTCTTGAGATTTATTTATGGGTCTCTGAAGCATGCTCAGGGATGTGGTGCAAGCGGTATGACTGGGGCCATTCTCGTATAAAGCATTCACTCCAGCGCTTTGAACTATCTTCCCAGTTCATCTTTTTTTAATTTCTTGGGATATGATGTCTAACCAGATTCTTGCTAAAGCAGGCCAGATGTATCAGATACTATGTAGAGGACTGTGAGTGACAAAGACTTCAAAAAATAATGTGAGTGATTCTGGTTAAACCAACTTGACAGTAATTTACTAAATTTGGGGAGTGCATTATGGACATAAAGGAGGCCAGGGAGATAGCTCAAATGGTAGAACAGAAGCCTAATGTGTGCCAAGCCCTGAATTGAATTCCTACTATTACATTCAGTTCATCCATACACTACAGGGTGTTGCCCTTATTTATTTATTTAATTTTTTTTTGGCTTTTTGGGTCACACCCAGTGATGCTCAGAGGTTAACTCATGCATTCAGGAATTATTCCTGGCAGTGCTTAGGGTACCATATAGGATACTGGGGATCAAATCCAGA